TCCTCCTTCCTGCTCCCTCCCCCCAGGTTTCCCCTTTCCCTCTCCCACCCTCTCTCTTCCCCTCTCTTGTCTCCTTTCCCCAGTCTCACCAGAGTTTAATTCCTCCCCACCGCCCAGTTTTAAATAAAGAGTTTGTGTTCATGAAAATACATGGACTTTATTTTACATCAGGAAGGGAGTTAGGCAGGGGTAAGTAGAAGGACATGAGGGAGGAATGAGGCACAAGCCCCCAGTGGGGCAGACAAGGAAGCCTTTTAGTGCTCCTCAGGGTAGAAGCTCTCCTGCAGGACCTCCTGCAGGATACTGACAGCTCCCCCATGGACCTCCTGGATGGCAGCCTGCAGAACGTGCTGCCAGGCTCGCAGCAATGTGTCCAAGAGAAGCACCAGAGTGCCCAGGGGCAGCTCTGTCTACATGTTGCAGAGTGCTGTGATGTCCCGAGTGAGGGCAACCAGAGCATGGCAAGACAAAATGCTTTGCTGTCCCTCAGTGAGGTAGGCAAGCAAGCAGGGAAACCGCTGTCCAGGGGCTGTCTCTTTAAGCACAGGCCTCAGATAGCCTCAGGCAGCGGCCACACAAAGTAACTCCTGACTTGGTGCCCTGCTGGAACTGTTTCCAACCAGCCTTAAATGCAATTCAAGTCCACTCAGTGTGGATGTGGTATTTTGAAATAGCAAAATGCTATTTCGAAATGCATTTTGTGTGTAGACATGTTACTTCAAAATAAGCTATTTCAAAATTAGATATTTCAAAATAATGTTGTAGTGTAGACATACCCTCTGAGTCTAACTGTTTTCAGACCTTGATAGCTGAAGAACCATAGTAATCACAAATGACACACCATAATTTCTGGATTCTAATCTCCAGAAATTAAAGATTAATCCTTAATTAAGGATTGTCATGTGATGAAACCTTCAGCACATGTCTAATCAAAATTAGCAAACCTCTTTTCCATGCTAGCTTAAAAATATTATTAATATAGGCTATTATTAATTGTAAAAAGTGTTCTTCTTATTTGTCATAGTATAATTTAGATCCAAATTTCCCCTTTTGCATA